GGCGAGAAGGAACCGACGCCGGGAACTCGGTGATAGTGGGTGGCTCGTGCTTGAAGGGCGCGTTCGATGTTGGTGGCCTCCGTCATGAAGCCTTCGACGGTGGTAGGCGGGCTCCGGACAAGACCACCGAAAATGTTTTCCTTGACGCCACGCATCAAGACTCTGAGCTTCTTTGCTTCGGATGCTTCGGGATCGGCGCGGTTGCTCAGTCGCAGGACATCTTTTACGAAGCTAACGACGCTCTCGTTAGGGCCTTGAATCCTCGCTTGAAGAAGCTCTTCCGCGCGTTCTCTTCGTTGCTGGTTCGTGAACGTTCTTCGCAACTGAGCCTTGAGTTGCTCCCAGGAAGTGATCGAAGCTTCGTGGTTCTCGAACCAGTTCCGGGCGGTGGCTTCCAAGGCGAAGTAAGCGTTTTGCAGACACTGTTTCGGTGTCCACCCGTTATGACGGGCCACTCGTTCGTACTGTTGGACCCAGTCGTCGATGTCTTCGTGGCTTTCGCCGTGGAAGGGAGCCGGTGTCCGAGGAGCGACGGGTAGGTAGACGACGGCAGGAGCGGCGGAGGCCTGCGACTGGTTGTCCATCGTCGTCTTCTTCGGTTTGGGTTTGTCCAGGAGCAAACCGTACTCCGGATCCTCTCCCTTGGTGTGGCGGCTGGTCCGAGTTTCAGGTTCCGCGCTGAGTGGTCTTCTCAGCGAGCTCGGAGTCGGGCTTGCACTGCGGGTCCTGAGAGGGGAACGCTGCACGGGCATGCGGTACCCCGCACCTCCACCAAAATGTCACGGGTGGTGACCAATAAACAATAAATAAACAGAAAGAAATAAACGTTTAATGTGGCGAACTTGTGCCAAAAATAAAAGGGTACAAACGATAATAACGGAGCGTCGCGGGCGTCGAAGTCGGCGTAGCAGCAGAGTCGAACGCTGGGCGAAAACTGACTGCAGATCAGCACGCGGAGTCCCTTAGGTACGCGCGTTGGGTTCTGGAACAATCGGCCTAGATTGTTCGGCGACTGGAACATTCAGAACTCGATCTGACGAGAATGTTCTCGAACTCACGAGAACGCAATGAAAGAACAAGTAAAAGAGCATTCCACTGACTGGAATCGAACCCAGGCTTTCTGCACGACAGTCAAGCACGGTAACCACTTGGCCACGCGCGCGGCCGCTCGCTGACGAGCGTGGCAATATAAAGCACAATTTCACTTTTAATATCTGCAGGAAAGGTGATTGTAGTTTTATTGAACTTAGAAGCAATATTTAACAAAAAAAAATATTAGCAGTAGTAGCCACTACAATAGCATGTAAAGGGTTCGTGCAATGATATTTGCAAAACATCAGAAATAAAGTAACATCTAAGGAGAGAACACGCGTATCTATGGTAAGATATGTTGTCAGTGTTCTCTTTTTTATTTATGTTTAATTATTTCTGAAGTTCTTACGCTATCCCCAATGCGCTCAATTCCAAAGGACGGTATTTGGGTTGGAACCTTTCCCCATTTACGCAAGCTTAGTGGCCCATGTGCTACCCTAGCTACACTCGCCATTCGGCGCCACTGACAAACAAGCGTCTTGGTCGCGGTGTTATAAACCCCCTTTCAAAGTCACGTGTCGATTGTTAGACGGTCGGAACCACTGAGCAGTGACGAAGCAACGGACAGCGCTGAACATGCAAACCTAAAACTAAAAGACACACAAGCACAAATACCGAGACTAAAACCGCAAGGTCACGATGCATACCTTGTTCTTGATTGGTTTAGCCGACTGTCACATGCTCCCTGGCGCTCAACGAGCGCTGTGACTTTGCGCTTTTATCACTGCGTGTTAGTAACAATGTTATGCCAAATGCAAGAGAAGTGTTTAACATAAAATACTAGATAGCCACTTAAAATTTATTTATAGTAGCATTCAAGTTAATTTTACTGAGAACCATCTTGAGTAGAGTACAAATACTTTGAAAGGTAACTGAATCATAACCATAGTTTTGTTTAACCCGAGACTGGGGTATTTCGGAAAAGGGACGAGAAGAAAAGAGGCCACAAGGAGGCGACGTCTCAAACACAGCTCAGTCTATATTTCTACAAGTTTTATGAGCTGTGTTTGAGACGTCGCCTCCTTGTGGCCTCTTTTCTTCTCGTCCCTTTTCCGAAATACCCCAGTCTCGGGTTAAACAAAACTATGGTTAACTTCCACCAGCTCGCCTGCACCCTTACAATTTTTTAACTGAATCATTTTCGCAGACACTTAGGAAGCACGTTGCGAGCTGGTAATGTAGGAATAAAAAAGTAAAACCGGGGTACTCTAGTTGTGAAGACTTCGCTGAAAATCACAATGTGCCGTGAGCTTTATGATTTTCAAAACGAGCTTTGGCTGCTGGAATTGAAGGTTACTTTTTAATAATTCAAGATATGCAACTACTGGCTGCAAAATATTTTAGGGACAAATGGGACTGAAGTATTGTAGAAATAAAGACTGCAGTTCTTTAGTTTGGCGGCCGTCTCGGCTCATGACGCACTCCGCAATAAGTTCTTAATATGCCTTGCCGCGATTCGGGAGTCCTAACATATAGTTCGGCATTGCATACCCCTGACAGCCGAAGTAGAAGTTTTTCAGGCAGTCAGTCTTTCGAATGAGAACGTGAGTGAACGACATACGTGCACGCCCAGGGAAAACAACAACTCGAGGACGGCGGCATCGGTCGCTGATCAACAACCAAGGGCGAGTACTTAGTTGTCCCAGTCAAGGGCGAGGAGGAACACCTGTACCATTAAAATTGCAAACAAAATTTAAAAACATAAAAAATATATCTAGAAGGAAACACCGCTAACGCGGGAGTGTGTCAACAAAACCGCTTCCAAAATCCACATCCTTGCCCCTCTTCCGCACCAGCTCAAACAATTGTTGATGCACAAAGATCAGGATTTCATAATCAGAATAGTTTAGAAACAACTAGCTCCACCCTGTGGAAAATTCGGTTCGAGAACTCCGAGGATGAAACAATTCGCGCATTTGGAAGGAAGTTATTAAACAGGTGAAATGGTTAACAAATACGGAAATGTGTGTGATTGTCCTTTTGTCGTCCGTCTGTCTCAGGTTTAGAATCATGTGTGATAGAAAAACGTTTTTAGCGAGCTTGGGAGCAAAATTTAGACCACAAGAGGCGCTCAAAAGGCCTTCTTGGGGAGGCGCAATCAAGGTCACTGCAGTTCATAAAGCCAGCAGGGTGCGACTTCCTTGCCCAAGAGAGTGCCTGCGGTTGCTTGAATACGTGCTCACGCGTTTTTATACCAAAACCTTCTGAACCGGCGCTTTCCGAGAATGGTTAATTAGGGACTTATCGCAGACCGTTTTCTCCCATCCGCTACGCTCCCCGCAACGAAGACGCCACTACTGCGCATGCGCGGCGCTAACCGAGCATGCAGAGTCCCGTATATTGTAACGGGTTATGGAGAACGTTGCGGGACAGCGGAAACAATCTACGAAAGCTCCCTATTGTGATCGCACCAAGTGTTGGCCTCCCAAACTTACGCTCAAGAATTTTCAGAGAAAAATTGGGGTTTTGGTGTAAAATCCGGATGGGGACGTCACTAGCACTTTTTTAGGCCCAAGCGTAAAGTGCCATTCAAAAACAACTTGAAAAGAAAGGGGGACAAGAGGAAACATAGAGGCGGACGTACTTAGGGGTATCCATTTGGTCTTTTCTTGTCATTTGCAGACCGCTTTTTGCTCGTGTCTTGTTTCCTGTTCAGTGTTCGGTTGCTTTTCTCCAAGTTTACAATCGCCAATAGCTTTTTAAAAGCTATTGGCGAGTGGTCCCGAGGAAATGCCACTTCTGTTTCCTTTGAAATTTCGAACTATACTGGCAAAAGCGGTTTGCCTTTTAAGTTTTAGCTCGTCAAGTTTCCTTCCGGACAACGGGTAATGGTACCCGAATTTTATTTATTCTGCTTACAAATTCTAGAAATTGGGAACATAGCAAAAATAATCTGCGAGTTTCAGAGAATTGGGAACCTAACAAAAACCTACTCCGATAAACACCGAATTTTCAGCAAAAAAGAAACTCCAAAAAACATGCTCCGAATTTTCCTAGAAATAAACTCCGAAAACAAGAAATCCTACTTATGAGGAAGATATTCAAATGCAAATCATAGTTTAAACACGAGCACTGTGCCTTATACTCAACACAGACTCGTGAAAATCAATGCTTTGACAAGTATTGAGGTGGTGACTCACGTCAAATCACTACAGTGACGGGAGCAGCCAGACCCTATAAGAAAATTTTACACACTTGTAATTGCCTACTACCGGAAAGGCTAAATACCGGTTTTTGAGCCTCTTGTGACTGAACAGCCTCCGCTGCTGCGCAGATGATTACGAGCAGTCACAAGAGGCTTAAGATTTGGATGTGGGGCAGTCGGTCGTATTCATACGCAAGTATGAACCAGTCTTAACAATGTGTGGAATTCAGCGCGTGACCCGTGCTTTTTCAACACCAGCGTATGACTATGTTAAATACAGGCGGCATATAATCCACTTCAGATCACATAGCTGCATGTTCTGTACTTCGGTTGAAAGGATAAACACCTTTGTTTTTTCTCTAATTTTTTTTCTCTGACTGTCATTACGTTGACAAAAAACAACCTATTTTTTGTACGTAATGAACACAAGAATTAATCTATTTGGTGAATATAAAAATAATATTGGCACCGCCCTTTTAATATGACAGTTCAGAAGCTAAAAAGATTGACTTTAGTGAGAGTACTGAAACAAACATTTCTCTCGCCTTTCTAACCTTAGGTTTCACTGAAATAATTTAATCACATTTGTAAAAAGCACATTTAAAGGCGTATTTCAAGGTGGATATTTTTATAGCATATTTTATTACGTATAAAGTGCTGCTCAATTACAAACACTTCTATTATAAAAAGGAAGTTGTATTATAAGGGTGATATCTGTGTTGTGATTGTTGTAAAAGCAGTGGCGCATTTTCTTTTTTTACAGGACTGCGATTCAGAACATGTGAAACAAAAGCTTAGAGATTGGGCGTATATGTAAAGGAGTAGCATATAAAACATTTTTTTGACAATTTTGGGCCCTTTTTGTGCAAAGAAATAATTTTGGTTACGGTGACTGTTCAATAAAAAGTAACGTGCGTCGTTCCTCTACATCTGTAATTGATAAAAAAAACGTACACAATCTTAATCGTGTTGACAAAAACCAGGGAGCTCGGAATGTGTGTCGCACAGACCTCACATACTTTTCTACGAACTTTTTAAGCTTATTTTTTGTAATTGTACTTTTTTTAATTCTGTTTTATTTTTATTTATTTTTGTTATTTCGTTTACTCTTTTACTGTGAACCTTCCCTCCAAATTTGCGTCTACCCCTCCCCTTAAACCAATCGACCCCCCCCCCCCCACGTTCCTTTCTTTCCCCATCTCTCCCTCAGCAAAGGTCACGTGACGTCAAGTCATGACGTTTATATCCCCGCTTAATTTAGCGGGGAAACTGGATTGTGTAGCGATCCCAGCGTGTCGCTCCTTCATGCTGCTCGGTATCATAGAAAGAAACCCATAGAACACATCTTGTGTTGAAAGTATCTCTCTTCTTTAGTGTAAGGGCGAATTCAGGTGGTCAATCGTCAGCAACGTATTTTGCCGGAAAACTGGCAATAGCGTCCGCGTGGTCAGTTTCCGGCCGGTGCGCAGCGTTCGGGTGGTGGTTCTCCGGCAAGCACCCGCAACTTTCCGCCGCTTTTTCCGCCCGAGCTCCGAACGGCCGGACGAGCGGGCGCCAGGCTGTATCCGGTCCGGTGTTGTCAGCTCCGAAATGGGAGAGGAGGTCGGTGTGAAAAAAAATCAGCAAAAAAAACTAAATGGATCTGGGACCCTATGCTACACGGCGGGACCAAGCGGGACCAAGAGACCAGGACAGCGCCCTCTGGAGTGATTGGTCAGCGAGTCAATCCAATTCGTTGGCACAATACCACAAGGAAAATGGGCCCGTCCTTTTCGGAGGTGGACGGGGTCCCGGAGCTCGGAGCCAAGGTCACGGGACATGTGTCATGTGACACGTGACGTCACCGCTTGTTTTAGTTGTTTTCGCTTCTGATGTCATAGGTTGCAGTTTTCATGCTGTTGCATGCAACATGGAACCCACGACCGCCTTTTGCACTTTTGCTTTTTGCTTGTGTCGGTTTGGTTGCGTTGGTTGCGTGCTGCTGTCTGTTGTAGTTAGTTCGTTGGCTCAGAGCGAGCCAGTTCAACTTTGGGTCGGCCGGCAGGCCCCGACGTGACAAGAGGTTGGATGAGAGACGCCTCGCTTTCGGGCCGAAGTCGTCTACGTGTCTTGATTAGACTTGTGCCAGTTGCTTGAAAAAAATGTAATGGATTACAGTTACAAATTACCGAGTCTCAAATGTAATGAATTATCGTTACAAATCACTATCGCTGAAAAGTAACGGATTACTTTACTTCTTACATTACGATTTACTTTCACGTTACTTTTCACCAGGGTGTAAGATAGACAGGTGGGGAAACGGCCCATAGAAGCCTACCGCAGCGCCGTGACCGGATTGTGTACTCGTCTGCTTGCGGGTACCCCCGATTTGCGACAGATGGCGCTGCGGCGAGAGGAAAAAAAGTCGGAATCGAATTTGCGTAGAACTCTATAAGAGAGTGCAGAAAATAAACCGAGAGCACGACGGTCCTCCATTGAAAATCCATGAAAAACCGTCTCCGTCAGTTCAGCCGGTCGCCACCGGTCGCCCACCCGGGGTGAGAGTTCGCGGTGCTCCACATAGGTGGCGCCACAGAAAAAGAGAAACCTGAGGGGGACACAATCCGGTCGCTCATTTGGCTCTCGTTTCCCCACCTGTCTATCTTACACCCTGCTTTTCACGCACATTTAACGAGAAAACATCAAAAACTATTTTGATGTTTTCAAACATATTCTGCAACACAACTTTCCATTTCTCATACGCCCGCATTATAGTAGTTCTCGTAACAATAAAATATTGTATTTCAAAAGAATGTAGGTGCACTCCGTTCACCTGTAAGGTGACAAGTCAGTGAAAGCAGAAAACACACGCCATCCCGCTATCTTACGGCGACCGGAAATAAGCAATGCAATTCTGCAGACAAAGTTAGCTGAGCGTATACTCAGTAGCAACGTCTACTTCCGCTAGGAGATCTGGAGGGAAGGAACCAATCCATGAGTGCTCCCTTTTGAAACTGGCCTTTCAAATGTAAGCGCAACGTTTCAAAGCTGGGGTCTCGTGCCTGTAGCTTTGACCATAGCCTCCTCTATACTGACAACGCCTGGCAGATCGCCACGAGACGTGGCCGCCGAAAATGAGAAGGTAGAGTGGCAGACAACGGATGAGAGGAGAGGCATGTAACGGACGCCCCGCTGCGACCAGACGCCGAAACACACTTCTCCCGAGTGATGGAATTTTCTCTCGAGCTCCTAGGGCTCTACGTGCTACCACTTCTTTTCTCGTAGGGTTTGAAAACCATGTTTCGGGTCCTCGCCGCTGAAAAAGCTATGCGGTGACGACCAAGTTCGCCGAGAAATGCTCTGTGCAACCAGGCTCTCGCGCTCCAAATCTGTGTCTGGGCACTCTATGCCTCCCTGATTGAACTGCCAGGCTTTGTGAGTATAGAGGAGGCTATGGTTCAATCTACACTCCATCTCACAAACATCCGCACTGCAGAGGAGGGCATGTCGAATGCGTGCCGAGTGCGCCAGCCTAGTGCCTGTTGCATCAGTGGTGACTTTAACGCATATATCACGCTTCCCGTACGTTCAGTCTTAAAAAAAATTACTGATATAGTGGTCTTCAAAGACGCCCTGCAAGTTTATAACTGAAAACATACAGTATTTTCATAAATATATGATCATTTTAAAAATTTAGTTATAAACTGACTTAATGTTACTATTAGCCCTCAATGGTCTGCCCCCTCTGGCCGCATAACTCACCTGCACAGACCGAATTAACGCAGAATTCACGGCTTCGCAAATTTTTAAATCCTGAAACAAAAAACATCCAATTTGCTGAGTTCCAACCTGTCTTTAGAGTTTACCTGGACGAGAGTGTTCCCCAAAGTACTGCGACAAATTTCTGAGATTTCAGGCACCTGAATAATATTACGTTTTGATTAAATTATGTCACGTTTTATTTTATATCAGTGTTGCACTTGCTTTTGTTATTAACACTTTTTTATCGCACCCCCCCCTACCAAAAACAAAAAAACAAAAAAAAACGAATAAAGAACAAATTTAAAGTGGCGAAGAAGCCGAGTTGGTTCATGACTTAAAAGCGCTAACAATACACAAGGACAATATGGGAGGCAAACTCGACGAGCGGAGAATAAACGTTTATGAGAGGAGGGACAGCTTTTATGAAGTAAATGATCCTAACTTTGGTACCAAAAGCGTGTTGTAATATTTTATTAAAAGGATTGTCCGGTGATCTTTTGTGCTCGAGAAGACAATTCCATGTCATTGTCATTGCCTCGAAACGCGTTGTCCGTCCAATATTTTGATCCTTTTTTCCCCTCTGCATGAGTAATTAAATTTTAAATGAAGCCCAAACTGCTCCAGTCACATATTGAAATAAACGACACTTTTGTTGTCAGCATTGAGGCTCTGATGTCACATAACGCAAAGCGATTTTTTCCGTCTCGTCGTTTGCCCGGTTTGCCTACAAAAAACTACCAACGTTGGTAGTTTTTCTTTGCTGTGCTCGACTTTTTTCGTGGATCGGGAGATTTATGTTACAAAGTTGGGCCCACAATCACCAGGCAGCACGTGCGAGCCAGGACGTGACTTTTCACAATTTTCCGCGAGACATGCAGCGGTGAACAAAAGGGATCGTCGCCTTTCTTAAGGAGCACTGGGTTCCCGTCCAGAGGAGACCCAGCTTGCGCAGCGATCATTTTTCTGAAGACAGCTACTAATTGTGATCTAGGCTTTCGAGGAAATTCTCCGTCGGACAGAAGCTGATGTGTGAATCTGTGCCAACAATTATTAACCACGTTGCTGCGCCACCCATATCTCACCCTGGCGCGTTTGTGAAGAGGATGAGACGCAAAGAGGCGCGCCTAAAAGCGTTCAGTAGTAATAGTACCTCAAGCTGGTACGTTTTGTACAGCACACACGGGGACAGGCTGAACACTGTCGGATTATATCTCGCGAGTTCTAACCTGAGCGTTTATCTATAGAATGAGAAGTACCTCACTTCGAGGTTTTGTGCAAATTATCCAGAATTTTCCGGCTGTATGATCGACAGCTATTAGTATAAGCTCGGATGCTTTTATGTCCGGTGCTGACATGAGGGCATACTATACTACGTTTTTTTCTGATACACCTCAACCGAAGCTACAAGCGCGAGTCGCTTGTTCATGGATGAACCTCGGCTGTGCGTGCTGTTTTGCTTGTAGCCTTCGCTCTGGTCTGTTAGAAGATGAAACGGAGTGTCGCAGAGGCACGTTGTTTCATTGCGTGATCGCTATTGCCGTACTCATGTTCAGCTTGTACTCGTACAGCGCAGGTCCTAAAGGCGGGCGACCTGGCCGGTCCCCCAGGGCACCCTCCTTTTGTGTTTTTTTTCTAGGATTTTTTTTTTTTTCAACACGGCGCTCGACACAACGCTATATGCTCAATCGCAGTTCGTTATTGGAAAGCGGTTCTCGTCTGACAAAACGCACGTGTTTGGCCTCTACTCACATGTGTTTACTAACAACGTGATGCACGTCGTGCATAGTAGATAGGGGCGTATAAAAAAGAAGGCGGGGAGGGTGGGGGGAGGGGTATCCACGGCCGAAGTTTGCCAGGGCGCTTGATGGAGCAGAGGCGGCCCTGTACTTATACGCCTAAGGGCGATTTCTATATTTAATTTATTAGATTTATTCGATATTTTAGGTCAACATAACATGTAATTTAAACGAGACCGAGAAATGTATTGGTAGAATTCAAGTCTCATTTGCCATTGAAATATGAAAATGATGTGGTGTGATAAACTCCTTGAAACAGAGATTGTCGACGAAGCCATGG